ATGCACCAAGACCCAGAGGAGAGGAGCAGTGACCCCACAGGACACTGAGTCAATACTACCTGCTAGTGTTAGATGGCCCCCTATGGAGGTGTGGGTCAGCAGGGGCTCACTGCAGGGATGGGGGCACTAGAAGGTCCCCCTTGGCATAAACCTTCTTGGAGTTGCCATTAACCCTACCATACAGCCAGTGGACACCAGGGCTGGGTGATCCCAGGTCAAACAACTACCATAAAGGGAGTGTAACCCCACTCATCAGCAGGTAATTGGATTAAAGTTTTACTGAGAAAGGCCCTGGCCACCAGAGCAAGACCCAGTTTTTCCCATCACCAGTCCCCTACATCAAGAAGCTTACACAAGCCTTTTAGCCTCATCCATCAGAGGGCAGACAGAAGAAGAAGCACAGTCTCACAGTGACTAATTAAAACAAACAAACAAACACATTACAGAGAGTTAATCACAATGAAAAAAGCGGAAAGTTTTGTCCCATATAAAGGGACAAGATAAAACCCCAGAAATACAATGAAATGAAGTGGAGATAGGCAACCTTCCAGAAAAAGAATTCAAAATAGTAATAGTGAAGGTGATCCAGGATCTTGGGAAAAGAATGGAGGCAAAGATTGAGAAGATGCAAGAAATGTTTACCAAAGAGCTAGAAGAACTAAAGAACAGACAGAGATGAATAATACACTAGAAGGAATCAATAGCAGAATAACCAAGGCAGAAGAACAGATAAATGACCTGGAGGACAAAATGGTGGGAATCACTGCCACAGAACAGAATATAGATAAAAGGATGAAAAGAAAGGAAGACAGCCTAAGAGGCCCCTGGGACAACATTAAATGCACCAACGTTCGCATTATAGGGATCTCAGAAGGAGAAGAGAGAGAGAAAGGACCTGAGAAAACATTTGAAGTGATAATAAATGAAAACTCCCCAAATAGAGGAAAGGAAATAGCAAACCAAGTCCAGGAAGCACAGAGAGTCCCAGGAAGGATAAACCCAAGCAGTTGATATAGAGTTATATGTGATATAGTGATATAAAGTTTATATGATATAGGTGATACATGATTGGTGATTTAGAGTTCTATTATCTTTCAGCTGACCAATCATGACACAATGATACTGAATGAGTAATAGTTGCATAATCATGATAGTAAAAGATGTTTATGTTTTCACAATTAGTAGCCAGACAAAAAAATAAATAAAATATAATTACAATTACAAGCCATAATGGGAACATGATTAACTGAGCAATATGAAATAACTGCATACAATTTGGGATGGGGTGTCCAGCAGAGTCAGGTGGCAAATGGAAGAGCATACATGCACATATTTTCATCCACCCAGTCAGTCTATATTTTTTGGTTGGTGCATTTAATCCATTTACATTTAAGGTAATTATCAATATGTATGATCCTGTTACTGTTTTCTTAATTGTTTTAGGTTTATTTTCTGTAGGTCTTTTCCTTCTCTTGTGTTTCTTGCCTAGAGAAGTTCCTTCAGCACTTGTTGTAAAGCTGGTTTGGTGGTACTGAATTCTCTTAACTTTTGCTTGTCTGGAAATTTTTTTATTTCTCCATCAAATCTGAAGGAGAGTCTTGCTGGGTAGAGTATTCTTGGTTGTTAAGTTCTTCTCTTTCATCACTTTAAATATATCATGCCATTCCCTTCTGGCTTGTAGAGTTACTGTTGAGAAATCAGCTGATAGCCTAATGGGACTTCATTTGTGTGTTACTTGTGATCTTTCCCCTTGTTGCTCTTAATATTTTATCTCTGTCTTTACTCTTTGCCAGTGTGATTACAATGTGTCTTGGTTTGTTCCTGCTTGGGTTTATCCTGCCTGAGACTCTCTGTGCTTCCTGGACTGGTTTGACTATTTCCTTTCCCATATTTTGGAAGTTTTTTTTCTATTATCTCTTCAAATATTTTTTGAGGTCCTCTCTTCTCCTCTGGGACCCCTAGAATGCGAATGTTGGTATATGCAAAGATGGGTTCAATAAAGGACAGAAATGGTATGGACCTAACAGAAGCAGAAGATATTAAGAAGAGGTGGCAAAAATATACCAAAGAACTGGGCAAAAAAGATCTTCATGACCCAGATAATCACCATGGTGTGATCACTCACCTAGAGCCAGACATCCTGGAATGTGAAGTCAAGTGGGCCTTAGGAAGCATCACTATGAGCAAAGCTAGTGGAGGTGATGGAATCCCAGTTGAGTGATTTCAAATCCTAAAAGATGATGCTGTGAAAGTGCTACACTCAATATGCCAGCAAATTTGGAA